AGACGTAGTGCTCTTTCCTCCCTACCTAGACCGATTCCCTATCCCTCTTACCTCCTACATTTAATGGCAATTTCCCTCTAAATAAGTGATTTTAAAAAATCAATTAACCACTACACCTGGGGAGGGAAGACATAAATCAAACATGGAAATTCTACAGTCTAATGAGATTAATTGAAGGATATTCTATGTAGTCAGTAGAGGTCTCTGGAGGCCTGGAGATTAGATCAGACTACGCTTAGTTAGGTCTGTGTCTCAAGTTGGTTCTCTGCTAGTCATCGAAGTAGCACAGAAGCCTGTGGTCTCAAATCACCTAGTGGGGTTTGGTAACTCCTAGATGTCTCAGGAGGCTTATGGCACTAAAGATAGGGTAGCAGCCTTCCAGATGGGGTACCAACATCAACAATGGCTAGAGGGAAAGGGGAAGTACAGGGACCAGAGCAATAGAACCTGCTTTCCCTTTTTATTCCAGAAAAGGTTTCATCGAGGACACAGTAGTGTTTCGATTTCCTAATTCTCAGAGATTTTAGGGCAGTGATTGGCTAAATGAGATGGAGAGCATAGTATCAGAAGACTCATCTTTCTTATTACCTGATTAGGATTCAGAAATTTGTTATCTATAGAAACTAGGGTGCTAAAAAAAAAAAAAACAAGAAAAAAACCTACTTCATTTGGGCTAAAATTAGCAATTTACAATGCTAAATTTCATTAGCATTCTAATTTTGGAAATAGGGAGCCATCTTCCCAGCAGTTTAGCATAAGGTAACATCAGGTAACTGAGTAAAGATTGTACAAGTAAACAGCATAATCAGTAAGAACTAAACAAAGATATTTTCTCTCTAAATAACTTGACAAATCACCAAGGAGGACAGCCTTAAGGTATATTCTTTTAATTAACTGACAACAAAGTCTTCACTTTAAGGCCACACAACTTTCCCTTTATACATTTTTGCAAGCAACATCAATTCATTTCCCTAGGTTAGCTTTTGTAGGGCTAGAAGTCCTAAATAATAGACACATTCTTATGTCCATTAAGGACAGCGATATGGGCAAACAGACTATGGATTATGTAATGTATTGTCAAAGCCAAAATTTAGATGACCCTAATCACACCCATTTAGTCCCACTTCCTTCAAGACCATCTTGAGGGCAGGAACAGAATCATATAGAGCTATGTGACCTCGTGCAAATTTCTTTCCTCTCCTGGGGCAGCAGTCTCCTCATTTAAAGAATAAAATAAATGAAGGCATTGGAATTGATGATCACTTTTAATTCTAGAGACCTTTGTTTTTCCCAAAGGGCTACACCTATAGTAAGTCCTCAATAAATATTGATGCTTGGCAAAGTTATTTAAGCTCAGTGCTGGTAAGAAAAAAAAATGTAAAACAAATTCTCATACAGTTAAGTTCTTTATTTCGAGTAATTCTCAATTTTTTACACAACCAACATTCAGATTATTTTTCATCACATTCTCCTTCATTCCCATGTTCCTGTAACATAGGTATCATTTTTCCCATTTCCTAGATCAGGAAGTTAAGTCACAAGGGAGGTAAGTAGATCACAGGGAGAGATAAAACTGGACATATCTCCTCTCTCCCAGGAATAAATAGAAATTGTCCTATTTAAGCTCTAGATTCAGAACTCAAATAGCATAGCACATTATAAAACATCTGTTTACCAAGTAATAAATATATCACAGTACAACGGTTCTAATTCTATATGAAGGCACATTCTTAGGCCATGAACACACTGGCCCTAAATGTAAATTCATGATCTAGAGCAGAGGTTCTTAACGGGTTTTTTGTGTCATGGCCTCATTTGGCAATTTGGTGAAGCCCATGGACCCCTTCACCCCTTCTCAGAATAATGTTTTTAAATGCATAAAATAAAAAGGAAACCAATGCTATTGAAGTAGAGATGTAGATTATTTCCCCCATCCAAATTAATGGACCCAAGGTTAAGAATCTCTGATGCAGGGAGATTGAATCAATTAGGTAGATCATTAAAAACAAACAAACAAACAAAAAAAAACAACCAAACAATTTAAATCCTTATACTACATACAAACAGGATATATATGTTTGGTTCTCCAGGTCCCTGGATATGGCAGCCAGGTCAGTAACAAAAACATAGGAGGAAATAAACAGTCCATAAAATCTAAACTTTTTTTGGTATTGTTTTATATAAGATCACCCCCCAAAAGCATTTAGTTTCTCCCATTCCAGGTCTCCTGTCATGGAGCCTAATCAGCCATTTAGGGCTCAAGGTCTGGGCAAAATAAATAATACCTAAGACATGTAGCCAATTTAAAAATATTTATAGAGTAATAAATACACCACAGTGCAACAGTGCAATTAATGGCTCAGAGTCAATACAAAGGCACAGTCCACTAAGTCCCACCCAAGGATTCATATCTCATCTTTCCCAAACAACTGCTGTCTCAAAATCTAATAAATCTTAATCTTGCCACATAGTTCACGGGAACAGGGATTCTGCTAGTCATTTAAGAGGCCAAAGTGAGCAGGAGCACTGGGTATTCCAGAAGGGTTTAAAGGAAGAGAAAGGAATGAAGATTGTGACCAGCAGGCATGATAAGGTCAAGTGTAGGTTTTTTCAAAGACAGAAGAGCTAGGGGTGAATAAAGCCAGAGGACGAAAGAATCCAGAAGGCTGCTTTAGTAAGCATTGTTCCACAAGCTGCCCCAGATTTGAACTGCCCCAGAATGGCCATGGCAGATCCCAGCCAGCCTCACCAGCATTTGGCCCCAAGCTCCCAGAGCTTACATTTTTTCTCTTTTCATTTGTCCTGTTAAGGGCAGCACTCCCTTCCAGCATCATCACAACCCAGTGAGACTTAGGGCACCATTCATTGGTTATCCTCACCCTCGTTCTCAGCTCTCGGCAGGACCCCTGCATGGCACATGCTGGTAAAGGGCTTTCCCCAGAGAGTTTGAACTGCCCACCTACATTGTTATTAGTGGATTTGGTCAGGCATGGTTCTAGCGCCCTCTGCTGGTAAAAGTGGAAGCTGCAGGCCAGGTTAAGAGAGGCAGGCAGCAGACTGGGAGGAATGAACATTGGTCTAGGAATCAGCTGGAGTCTGATCCCAGTTCTGCTACTGAGTAGCTGTGTGATCTTGGAGATGTCACTAATCCACTCTGAGCCTCAGTTTCTTTAACTCTAAAATGGGAATAATATTTGAAATTGCTTGAATCACAAGGTTGGGAAGAAAGTGCATTGAAAACCTTAAAGTGCTATGGAAATATGAGCTCTTATCATTGTTATTGAGAACCAGAATGGTCAACAGAGAGGGGAATGGTCTTGGAGTAAGGAAGATGTGGGTTCAAGGCCAACCTCTGACACATACCAGCCATGAAAGGGGAATCTATACTAGAAGCTCCCTATGCTGATGAAATCACAGGTCTGAACTCCCACTCCCCCCAAAATTATCATTAATACTGATAGCACTAAGCTATCAGTATTAATAGCTTAGCATAGTGCCTGGTACATAGTAGGCACTTAATGTCTATTGATTAATACAAACAATAGTACTCATACTCCAATTCTCTATAACAGGCTATGAATCCTCTCCTACAAGCTATGAAGCAACTTTTATTTCCCCTACATGGCAATGTAGATGCTTCACATATCTTTCACTACCTCTTATCATGTCTAAAAAAAATCAGCTTTTGTGCAGATCTTCATAAAATACATTCAACAAAAAATATATCTTCCAGATACCCTAGATCAACAGGTCCCATTTTAATCTGGCCTCTGACATCCGATCTTCAGCGGGGACTTCTCAAAAGTTCCCCCATGGTTACCTAGTCTAGCTAAATGGGACACAAGCTGCCCCCACTGTATGGATGGCCTTCCTGCTTCCACTATTCCTTCCATTGCTCCAGAAGGAGAGAGGACAATGAGCTTGGAATGTTAGGATTTGAAGCTGGTGAAAGGGACTGTGTGGACTGAATTCTGTCACTGCCAGACAGCCACCCTTGGAGGAACACCAGAAAATGAATTTCCTGGTACCCATAATCATGAGGTTCTATTTTTCCTGTGGCCACTTCAGAAGGCATAGCTCAGGTTGAGTTAGCTACTACAATGGCAACAACAGAACATTGGTCTGATACCTCCTTTTAATCAAAATGTTACCTTTTCTCACACTTGGAAACTCACTCCAATTTTCTTCCATCTAATCTTTACGGTTAAAAAAAATTTCCACGTTATCTGCTATTTGCTGTGTCTTGCAGTGAATGTTTTTTGTCCTTTGCCTAAAAGCACAGACATTCTGACATTGGCTCCAAAATTTCTAGTCAGCACTAAAAATATGCATGGTCTCTCCCAATCTAGACACTTTTTTTTTTTTGACTAGGCAATGGGTTTAAGTGACTTGCCCAGAGTCACACAGCTAGTAGGTGTCAAGTGCCTGGTCTGAGATCGGATTTGAACTCAGGTCCTCCTGACTCCAGGGCCAGCACTCTATCCACTATACCACCTAGCTGCTGCCATGTAGACAAGTTACCTTTGACGAGTTGGCTGACTATGAGCTTCTACAGAAACACTGCTGATTGCCTGGGCTAGCTTTGGAACATAGGTGGCTATTTGAGACTAAGCCCTGCCCTCCCCCCACCACAAAGTGGCAAACTTTCCCTGAAACAATCTTTAAGCATGTGCTACATTTATGATTTGAATTCTAATTTTGTTCCAGATTTAAGGAAAATTTGCTAAAAATCACAAAATGCCTAGAGATGATCACTAAACTGTAAACCCAACCAATAAATAGGAAACATCCAGGACTTCCTGAATCTTCCCTAGATAGCTAGCATAAATAATAATAATAAATAGCATTTATATAGCGCTTACTATGTGACAGGCACTGCACTAAGCACTTTACAAATATTGTCTCATTTTATCCTCACAACCCTGGGAGGTAGGTGCTATGATTATCTCCATTTTATAGTTGAGGAAACTAAGGCAAATAGGGGTTAAGTGACTTGCCCAAAGTTACACAGCTATTAAGCGTCTGAGGCTGGATTAGAACTTGGGTCTTCCTGACTCCAGGTCCAGCACTCTAATCCACTTTGCCCCCAAGACGCTGATTAAAAATCAAAATAAAACAAGCTTTTATTAAGAGCCTACTATATGCTGGGCATTTTATAGATCACGCAAATTAAGGAACTTAAGTCCAATCAATCACATCTAGGCACAGACCTCCTGGGATCAATGCTCCCACCCAGTACATAAGAAGCTATCTCTGAACGTGCACAGCTCCTGCGCAGAGAGTTTCATGTTAGGATCATCGTATCACAGGTTTGGGGCTGAGAGGGACCTCATAGGCCACCTAATGCAACCCCCTCATTTTACAGATGAAGATCCAGAGGCCCACAGGGGATAACTGACTTACCTGAAGTAACTGGGAGAGCCAGAATTCAAACCCAAATCCTCTAATGCCACATCTGGCATTCTTTCCAAAGTATTGTGATACCTTTCTCTCATACATTGCTTCTTGCAATGTGTGACTCCAGGCCAGTAGGCCAAGACCTCATGGACCTTCTCTGCCCACAAAGGCTCCATGGAGAGGCATTCTGGAGAACCTATCCCACCATCTGCACCCCTCTGCCTCCTCCCTTCCCCCTTCCTCAGCAGCAGTGGAGATGGTATCTAGCAGGTTTGTTTTATTTTCTAACTGCCTTGTCTCATATCCACCCAGCTCTGTGTTCTGCTCCGAGACCCTTCTTACCTCTTTCAACCCACACTGTTTGACTGAGAATGCTTCACAGCCTCCCTCCTGTCATTGTTATTACATGTGTGATGGAGGGCTGTTGCAAGGGGGCAAACTCCAACCCCAGGGTGCAGGGCTTGGAACGTGGACCAGAAAGCTGGAGGGCACATAACCCCTCTGTCCATTCACTTCCACGAGGCTCCATTCTGGGTTCCCCTTCTTGTCCTGCCTCTCCAGGACTGTTACCGGCTGCCCCGCCTGCAGGCTCACTTCATGGCTGCTCCTGGCTGCAAATGGGTAGGCAGCCACCACCTAAAACACACACAAAGAGTAAGAAAATGGGGAGATCAAGGAAGACATAAAAATCCAAGAACAAACTGAAGCAAAGTGGTTCAAATCCACATTTTTTTTTTGCCATCAATGACTTAGGAGGCAGTGTAGTACAGTGGAAAGGGCATTGTATTTGGAGTCAGAGGACCTGAGTCTGAACCCTAGTTCTGCTACCTACAACCTTTGAGCAAATCACCTCATTTCTCTGGGCCTCAGTTTATTCAAAATGTCAAAGGAAGGGGTTAAGCCAGATGGATTCTAAGGTTCCTTCCAGCTCTCAATGTTCCTAGGATTCTCAGACTTTCTCATTCTCTCTGTTGGCCACTGTTTCACCTCAGCATTTCTCTCACTGTTGGTCTCTTGTTAATGAGAAATCTGACACTGTCTCCAGCTCTTTCTCTAACTCAGAGATCCATGGCTCTCAAAGAACTAGAAACTGTTAGAGTTGCAAGAAACCCGAGATGCGCAACACACATTACTAGTGGTACTCCATTTTTCACTTAAATACTTCCAAGAAGGAAGACCTTACATGGCTAATTCCCTTGCTAGCATTATTCACACCCTGTTCTCAAGAAGACAGTGGTTCACCCATCTCAGGTTCATGCTATAGTTGTTTTTCATTTGCCTTCCACTCTCTTTTCTGTTTAATCCCTAGTTTTGATTGTTATCTAGCCAGCCTTGAATTGGGAGTTTGACTTTCCCTGGGCAATAGAGGCATTATTCCTCACCTGTCAAAAATCCTCGGGTTGTATCAGAAAGAATGGCATCTATGAAATCCTGGCAGTAGCCAGAGATAGGAGGGGTGTGGGTGTGTGTGTGTGTGTGTGTGTGTGTGTGTGTGTGTGTGTGTGTGTGTGTGTGTGTGTGTGTGTGTGTGTGTATTTCACTCCTGCCTCTAACACTTGTTGACTGTGTCACCCTGGTCAAGTCATTTAACTTTTCAGGGCTCTAGACCAGTGATGTCAAGCTCAAATAAAATACTAAACCACACATAAGCATCCCTGCTGGCTGAATACTGACTTAGAAAACTACATATTAACATTATCTATGTTCTATTGTATCTTTATTTATTTTGTTAAATATTCCCTAATTACATTTTAAGCTGATCCAGGCCTCACTCAGAAGTGTTGTGGGCCACAATGTGGGTATGCTGGAGGTCTCTGCTCTAGATAATTCTCTAAGACTATAAGCTGAGAAAAAGGTGCTGATCTGCATTGTTAGAGGGAATATCCTCACCCAAGATTTCCCTATGCTAATTAACTCACAAATCCAGACTCTATCCTACACACACACACAAACATACACACATGTATATACACAGTATATGTAAGTTATACACATAAATATATGTGCGATGTACGCACTCATATGTATTCATGGAAATCTATAATGTCATTAGTGTGGGGATCTTCTGTGTGAGGAATAAATAAATGATTCAACAGGTATTTGTTAAATGCCTACTGTGTGTCAGGTGCTTTGGTAGAAGCTAGGGATTCCAAAACAAAAAATAAAATATTTCCTCCCCTCAAAGAGTTCACATTCTATCAGGGGAGATAAAGTATCAGCCTATGGAAGATACATACAGAAAAGCTGATTGCTGCACCCACTTGGCTTGGCACAGTGCCTGGCACAGAACAGGTGCTTAATAAATGTCTGTTGATTATTCATTGATTGGTTGACATTGCATTTTTTCTCTGAGTTGATAAAGTTCATTCTGTGCTTGTTAAAAATTCTTATCAGACTTTTGTTGTTCAGTAGTTTCAGTCGTGTCTAACTCTTCATGACCCCATTTGGGGTTTTCTTGGTAAAGATACTGGAGTGGGTTTGCCATTTCTCTCTCAGCTCACTTTACAGATGAGGAAACTGAGGCAAACAGAATTAAGTGACTTGCTAGTCACAGCTAGTGACTGAGGCTGGATTTGAACTCAGGAAGATGAGTATTACTGACTCCAGGTGCTGCGCTCTATACCCATTACACCACCTAGCTGCCCCCTTATCAGGCTAAGTGAATTCCCAGTACCAGACCCCATCCAAGGAAAGGGCCTCAATCTACTTGGCTGGGATTACTCAAATAACCAAACTGAATATTTGAATGTTATAGGCAAAGTGAATGTGAATGCATGTGATGAGTGGAGCATCCTAGAAAACTCTAGGGACCCCATATACAGATACTATTGATTTTAGATGTCAAGTTTTTGTCTAATAGATTTGCTGCAAATATTGATACTAGTCTGTTTCTTTTTAGTTAATTTAGAGATGTTACTTTTTGTTGTTGTTGTACAGAACCCTATTATTTTTGTATACTCAAATGCATTGACTTTTTCTCCAATAATTTCTTCCATTTGCTTGAATGGTGGAAATGTTCTTATTCACCATAGCTGAGCTTTTTTCTTTTAGCATTCTACATTTCAAAAAATACATAGATTGCTGATATAGAATTTATCTTCATGCATGGTATGAGTAAGGGATCCAAACCTAGTTTTTACTATCCAATTTTTCCTAACAGTTTTTATTGGATATTGATTCCATTCCCTAGGTTTTCCAAAACATTGGTCTGTCAAACATTGTGTGCGTGCATGCACACACAAACATATATATAGTGTGCATATACACATGCAATATATATGTGTGTATATATGTCCCCAAAGTGCTTTAAAATATTTCATATATGTACATATGTATGTATGTATATATATATATGTAGACGGAGAGAGAGAGACAGAGAGAAAGAGAAAGAAAGAAAGAGAGAGAGAGAGAGAATTGTTTCTATTTCTGTATTTCTGGGTTCTCTATTCTGTTCCATCAATCTGTTTGTTTCCTTTTGTGCCAGACAGTTTTTAATAACTCTTGCTCTAGAGTACATTACAAATTTGATCAGGCAAGTCTCTTGTCATCATTTCTTTTTATTGCCTTTCTTGACATTCTTTCCTGTCTATGTTCCCATATGAATTTTGTCAGGACTTTGGGAAATTCCAAGAAATGACCTGAGAGGCAGAGTTGCACAGTGGATAGAAACTTGCCCTCAGAGTCAGAAAGACCTGGGTTCAAGTTCCACCTCTGATGTCAGCTACTTGTACGACCTTGGTAAAGTCATCTAACTTAATGTTCCTGGCATATCACAAGACTATAAATTACAGAACTCTTTCTGATCTGCTTTAGTAAGGCTGGTTTCCTCCTGGTTTACTCAGATAGTACGTATGTGATTAGCAGAGCATCCAAGACAAGTTTATGTACCCCACACACAGCTCCAATAGGTTTTAGATTTCAGGCTTTTGTCTGCTATATTTGCTGTAAATATTTTTGCCCATCTTGTTTCTGTACTGTCAGTCTTCTCCATACTGACAAAATCAAAGGCCTGAACCAAGCCTCTCCCCACCCCCCATAGAAATAACCTACTAATATTCTGACTGGTATTATGTTCAATCTGTAAATTAATCTGGGAAGTATTCACATTTTTACTGTATTTGCTTAACCTAACAATAAGTCAGAGGCATCCCTCTGGGCAATTTTTCCTTGATTTCTGTCAAAAGCATTTTGAAGTTGTCTTTACATAGATTTCATATATATAAGTTAATACCATATGCGATACCCTTTGTTGTTATTATAAAAGCTATTTCTCTCCCAATTAACCTTGATTCTTTTGGGGAGTATGTAAACATGAAAATTATCTTTATGAGAATCTTATACCCCAATACTCTATGGGAGTAATTTTACTCCGATTAATTTTTTTGTTGTTGATTTTTGTAGATATATAATCATGTCATCTACAAATAGAGATGTTTCTAATGTCTTTATTGTCAGTGATTATTCCTTTAATGTCTTTATTGCTTTTGCCAACATTTCTCCCTTTTTCTTTAAAGATTTATTGATGACATTTCACATCACAGTCATTTCTAGCTATAACCTTTCCACCCACACTCTCTAGCGAGGCTTCCATTCTAACAAAGAAAAAGTATTAAGCAGCCATGTCTGACAGTGTTTAATTACTAACATTTTAAGAGTATGTCAAATAGGACTGATGTTTACGGATAAGTCTCTCTTAATTCCCTCTCTTGAGCTCCATTCCCATACTGCAACCCCAACACATTCAATTCCAAACACAATCTCTCCCCTTGGACCCACCTCTCCTCCTATCTATTATCCTTCCAGTCACAAAGGTGTATGATCTCGGTACCATCCTCGTTCCTCATGCTCACTCACTCCACATACCAAATAAGCTGACAAATCTTATTTCTATTTGCTTAAGTCTTGCATTAGACTAAATTAGATTCTTGCTCCTCATACAGTGACCCCTCTAGTTCATGCCCTCTCATCTCCCATCTGAGCCATTTCAACAGCCTCCTAATTAGGGTTCCTATCTCAAGCCTTTCCTCAATCCACTCCATCTTCCACACAGCTGCCAAAATGATTTTCCTAAAGCATAGGTCTGACCACAGTAACTACCTTCTCAATAAATTCCAGTGCCTCCTTACTTTTGCTAGAATCAAACAGAAGTGCCTCTGTTTGCCATTTATAGCTCTTCACAACATGGTCCTTCCCACCTTTCCAGGGACTCGTCATCTACCTTTCTTCTCTACATCACTTCCCTCCACACACTCAGAGATCCAGCCCCACTGGCTTAACCTCCACTCTACACCCATCTCTGCACTTTTGCACTGACTTTCCCCAGTGCCTGGAATGAACTCTCATTTCCTTTAAGGTACAGCTCAAGGGCCACCCCTCTACATGAAGCTTTTTCTGATTCCCCTCAGTCATTGGTGCTCTCTCTATTAAAAACTAAAACCACCTTACATTACATGTGCATTTGTATAGGTATATATTGCCCTCTCTGTTGGAATGTAAACTCCTTGAAGGAATTTTGTCCTTGTAGCTCCAACACTGAGCAAAAGGCCTGGTATACTGGAGGTAATTAAAATGGTTTTTGATTGATAGGTGACTGATTTTATACCTGTTTTTAGTGTGAATGTCCACCTAGTTTCTTCCAAAGTATATAATATTAACTTGTGGCTTCAAATACATACTTTTCAATCATATAAAGGAAAGATTCTTATATTCTTACATTTTACAATTAAAAATATTAAAGTGATGTACTTTGTCAAAAGCTTCTCTAATATAACCGTGTAGTCTTTGTTATTTGTGGGTTTCCTGCTTTTGCCTGCATCCCAGTTGTAAATTTTACTTGAATCACAGGATCATAAATTTAAAGTTGAAAATGACCTTAAAATACTATCTAGTCCAACCCCCTCATTTTAGAAATGAAGAAAAAGAGGGCCATGGAAGTAAAATGACTTTTCCAAGGCTGTCAGATGGTAAGTGGGGGGGACAAGGATTTGAACACAGATCAAATAAGGAATATCAAGCCCTGGAAATGGCTAAATACCTATGTGGAGGACAGACTGAAGAGGGGAGAGACTTGAGGCCAATTGGGAGGTTATTGCAATAGTCTACATATGAGATGATGGGGCACTGAAATAGATTGGTCGCTATATGAGTACAGAGGAGGGGGACATGTATCAACTGTTCAGATGTGTAGGGCAAGCAAGAGGAACGTGTCAAGGAAGTCACCAAGGATGAAAACCTGTATAACTGGAAGGATAGTGGTGCCTTTTTAAAAGAGAAGTTCAAAAGAGGAATGAGTTGGGAATGAAAAATAATGAGTTCCACTTTAGATATATTTAGTTTAAAATGTCTATGAGCTATCTAGTTCAAATGGACAATATAGGACAAGAGCTCAGGAGAGAGACTAAGGCTGAATATATACATCTGGGAATCATCTACAAAGAGATAATAATTGAACCCATGGGAATTGACGAGATCACCAAATGAGAAGGTATGAAGAAAAAAGAAAAAAGAAAAGAGAGCCCAGAATAGTGCCTTCTGGTACACCCACAGTTAGGGAAAGGGGAAGAGAAAATGAACCTGCAAAGGATGCGGGGAAGTAACCGTAGGAATGATAGAAGAACCAGAAAAGAGTGGTATCGTGAAAACCCAGAAAGGAGGGGGTATCCATATGAATGTGATGGAATATTGTGCCACAACAAATAATGACTATGGCAAATGCAGAATAACATGGGAAACCTTATATAAACTGATACAGAAAGAAATAAGGAAAATCAAGAGGACAATACACATAATGACCACCATAATGAAGAGGAACACAACACTGAAAGGCATTAAAACTCTGATTAATGCCATAAACAATTTTGACTTCAAAGGACTGAAGGTGAAATACTCATCTTTCAGCAGAGGGGTCAGGGCTATAGGTATGTGTTGTGGGCCAGGATCTTGGTGCAACTGGGGAGTTGTGAGTTACTCACCCCTCTCCTCTCCACTCACTGTTGTGAGCTAAGAAGCTATGGAGTAAGTCTGAGGCAATTTGAGTTAACTTTGCCTCCAGGTGAATTGATCTGAGACCCAGTGGGGGGACCTTTGGACAAGAAGAATAGAAAAGTGGTTTTTAGGACTTTGGCAGAGAGTTTCTGAGATGCTAAGGAGCTTTCTTGCCAAATGCTTTTACTGCAGGGAAATACCAACTGCCTTGAAGAAAGCTTGCCCCTGGGGATATCTGAATGTCTTTTTATTAAAAAGCATGTTTATTTGAATCCTCAGGCTCTGAGGGAGCCATCTCCCTAGACACAGATAGTGTGTAGGATGGAATGAGGACTATGTTGTCAGACACAACCACTGTGTTTCTTCCCTACATTCTTTTGTTATAAGAGAAGGGTCTGTGGAGGCAGGGGTATGAGTCACTGAGAAGGGAAAGTGATATAAAACAGCATCATTAAAACTTTTTTGAAGCACTTTGAGCTCTCTAGCAAAGGAGAAATTAGATACATTTGTGTACAAGGAGTGACGTAAATTCAAGTTGTCCTTTCTTTCAGACCTACCTGAAAAACAGGCGTGACAGCACGGGCTGATGCCCTGGGAGCTTCTTCTGGAGGGAACCTGAAACCATCGCCTGACCCCGCCTGCATGCTGGGCTCCTCAGGTGGGACCACCTGATACAGCTCTAGTTTTCCAGCTGGCACATACCCTCGATAGCCTAAAAGGCACATGGAAATTTTTCTGAGATGGGTAGTTAGTTCTCTGGTGGGGATAAACAAGTTTCCAATTTCCTTCATTTGACAAAAATTTACTAAGAGGCCAAAGCATCGTGCCAGGTCCTAGCGGGGAGGTACAAAGTTCAGATAAAATAATGTATCTGCCTTCCTGTAGCTTATGTTATAGGAAAGGGGTCAGACATAAATGCAGATATGTATAACAAAGTTCATGAGAAGAATAAAATTCTATGTGTGGTCCAAGGGGAAAGATCATTACTGGTTGGAAAATCAGGTAGGGTGGTTAGGGATTATATAAGTGAATGAAGCTGAAGGATTGGGAATTCCCCTGTATGACACCTAGCACCATGCCCTGTGTTTACAGATCAGCTCTGGCCCACAGCCCCAAGTGCCTACCTCTTGGTACTATGTATTTCCCCTCCTCTGGGTCCAGCTATTTTTAAGAAGAGGGCTGGACAATGAAATAGGCTCATTTCCCTAGGTTTTGGTTTTGTTTTTGTTTTTTTTGGAGGCAATCAGGGTTAAGTGACTTGCCCAGGGTCACACAGCTAGTAAGTGTCAAATATCTGAGGCTGGATTTGAACACAGGTCCTCCTGACTCCAGGGCCAATGCTCTATCCCCTGTACCACCTAGCTGCCTCAGCACTACAATTTTAATTGTGAAAATCGTCAGAGCCAGCAAAGCTGTTCCCAAGATGGAAAACTAGACCAAAAGTGTTAGCCCCTCCCTATCCATTGAGAAGGCAATATGATACCCCATCATATATATGAAATCATGCAAAACATATTTTATATTAGCCATATTGCAAAAAAAAGCAAGAAAAATAAAGTAAAAAAGTAAAAAATAAAATAAACCAAAAGTGTATGATTAGGGTGGTATTCCACTATAGCAAAATTCTGTAAGTGTGAACATAAGACAAAGCCTATCATTTAACATATAGGGCATTCTGGAGCTTTGCCCAAGCAATCTAAATATGCCTTAGCCAAGAGAAAGTGCTGGCACCCACAGTGACTGCAATTGCCACCCAAAATGGGAGTCTCATACCAACTTTTGTAATACAAAGGCCTGGAATGGAGGCCTCCAACACATACAGGGTAGGACTCACTCAGTATTGACCAATGAACCCAGGAATCTAAGAGTTAGAATAGACCCCAGAGCTCAGTTACATGGTCCATCCCCTACTTGAGCAGAAATCTCTCGAGCGCTCCTGATGAGTGGTCGTCTAGGAGCTTCTTGAGTATTAATCAAGTAGGAGGGAGCTCACTGCCTCACAGGACAGCACATTCCATTGCTGGAAAGCTCTGATTGTTTGGAATTAATTCTTCATTTTCAACTGATGTCTCCATCCTTCAAGTGCTTATCTGTTGCTCCTAGTTTTGTCTGCTGGGACTTGGCAGAACAAATTTGATAATTTAATAATAATAAGCTTGGCCAAGTAGATTGTGCCAGACTTGGAGTCTTAAAGAACTGGTTTCAGAGATCATCTCTGAGGCTTACTTGTCATGTAACCTGGGGAAATTCCTTAACTTCCATTTCCTCATTTATAAAATAGAGATAATTGTTGTGATGATCAAAATGAGATAATGTATATAAGGGGCTTTACAAACCTTAAAGTGACATAAATTGAGATGTTAATACTTCTATTTCTATTTCTCTTCTCCATGACAACCCCTCAGATATCTCAACACTGATCATGTACTTTCCTAAGTCTCCCCTTCTCCAGGAAAAAAAACAAAAAACAAACAAAAAAACAAGTTTTTTCTTCTATTAGTCCTTATGTGACATGGTTGACATGATTTGTTGATTTTTCTACAGAACAGCTTTTTTCCCATCAGCCTTTGTGGAATAGCTCGTGGGCTTTCCCCAGAGAAAGGAGACTTTCCAGGTCCCCTGTGTACATACCTCCAGTATCCACCAGCCAACGACTAGTATTGCCTTTGGTATCCCTGTCCTGAAGGAGAGCCACAATCTGTCCTCTCTGGAGGGTCAGAGCCAGATTTCCACTCCCACTGATGTTACTTGTCACCTGGTAGAGCTTGCTAGGGCCATACTTGCTCAGAAGGGTCTGTACCTGTCTTTCTGCAGCAGGTTGGAATGGCTAGGCAAAGAAGAAGTCGTAATGAGTCACAGAATCACCCACCATTCCAGAAGACACCTATTCTGAGCCTATTTCTGAGCATTTCCTTTCTCCAGTCTGAGAAGTGGCCATCCATTCTCTACTTGAGAGGGAATTCACTGCTTCCAAAAGGCATCTCATCATGAGGAAGGTTTTCTTTCTACTCAACTAAACATTCCTCCTAATTCTGGCCAGCTTTGTGTAAAGAGCCCTGTGTTGAGAGGTGGGCTTTCGTTCTAGTCTATCCTTCAATCCCCGGGTGACCTTCGGGGCAAGTGTCTTCTCCTTTCTGAGCCTTAGAATCCACATTTATAAAATGAGGAGCCCAACTTAGATGTCAGAATCTTGGAGTTGAAAAAGAAGTAGCTTAATGGTCTGTTAGTCTAAACTTCATTTCCAAGTTCCCTTCTAGCTCCACAGTACTAAGGTTTTGTTTTTGTTTTTGTTTTTTTTGGAGGCAATCAGGGTTAAGTGACTTGCCCAGGGTCACACAGCTAGTAAGTGTCAAGTGTCTGAAACTGGACTTGAATTCAGGTCCTCCTGTCTCCAGGGCCAATGCTCTGTCCACTGCACCTCCAAGCTGCCCCAGGGCTACAATTTTAATTGTGAAAATCCTCAGAGCCAACAAAATGGTCCCAAGATGGAAAACTAGACCAAAAGTGTCAGCCCCTCCCTATCCATTGAGAAGGCAACATGATACCCATCATATAATGAAATCATACAACACATATTTAATATTAGCACATGTTGCAAAAAGAAAGAAAAATAAAGTAAAAAAAGTAAAAAATAAAATAAACCAAAAGTGTATGATTAGGGTGGTATTCCATTATAGCAAAATCCTGCTTTTACAACCAATAAATATTACTTGTTTCTCCTTCATGCACAGCCCTGTCTGAGTTAGGAATACAGAGGGTGGGGAGAGGGTGGGCCCACTGGGAACACTTACTTGTGTTATTGGAACTGGCAACACCTTCTCAAAGCTCTGGCGGAAGGAGTGAAGCTGGGCACTGGTCTTGCCCAATGTGTCTTCCATCACCTTCCTGAAGTCAGATTCAGAAACATGGCTGTGGGGCAACTGGAGAAAAGATACTGAAGTCAGAGATGAACCAGAAGAGGATGATTAGAAGACAGAAAGAATGAAAAGATTCTTGCCCCATGCAATGTATGCAAAATTATTGTTTATTTGACAAAATCATTTTCTATGTTCTAAGCAGGTAACCTATTGACCAGGTATTGTTGTTTTTCAACTCTTCATGACCTCATTTGGGGTTTTCTTGGTAAAGATACTGGAGTGGTTTGCCATTTCCCTCTCCAGTAGATTAAGGCAAACAGAGGTGAAGTGACCTGTCCAGGGTCATACTTCTTGTAAGTATCTGAGCCCAGATTTGAACTCAGGTTTTACTGACTCCAGGTCCAGTGATCTATTCACTGAGCCACTTCATGCATCCTACTGGCCAGGTACGACTCAGTGAATCTCACCTAGTGATTCAACTCTTATACTTACTCTAGCAGTGTGACCCTAGGCCAGTCACTTAACTTTTGTTTGCCTCAGTTCCTCATTTGCAAAATGAGCTGGAAAAGGCAATGACAAACCACTCCAGTATCTTTGCCAAGAAAACCCCAAATGGGGTCATGAAGAGTCAAACACAACTGAAATGACTGAACAACAACAACAAGGCAATGATAGTAAATGGTTATAAATTCTGATTCCAAATAAGGTCAATGTCCCTCATGGGAAAGATAAGTCTGAGGTAATGGAGGGAATTTTAACTTTAACAGATACCAATGAGATTGTCATCTATTAGTCAAATATAGAAGAGAGACAAGGTTGTAAAATGTTTTTTATATACGATATTGTTCCATACTCTACACATTTGTCTTGTGGCTTGGAAACAGTGTTCCACAAATCAGAGACCATTCAGAAATAATCCCAACCCACTGGGAAAAGAGATTGAATATGAAGTCCCTTTACCTCTATTTCTTAGTTTGAGGAAGCTGGTCCTTTTTCCGCACAAGAATCCAAAACCTTTTTCCATCCTGGCATGGTCTATATAAAAAAACTAGGCAACTTCAAAACCCAACCTAGAGAACCACAGTCTTAAAGTGAACTCAAAAGTTTTCTAACACAGTGCATCGTTGGGCAAAGAATACATGTTCATCATATAGTCAAGGGGTTAGCCATTTATTTATACTGAAATTGTTGAAGCAATGACCTATGTTCACTTAAGTCCTCACATGGAGATAACCTTGGATTCTTGAAGGATATATATGGAGCATAAACTCCAGCAGGTCCTACCAGCCATCTTTCTCTCATTTGAGGACCAATCGAGCTAAGTGCAGGGCAGTTGAACACCAGAGGGCAGAGTTCTCTAGCCATAGCAACTCATTTTACCATGTACTAAATCAAAGAAGGATTATGGGATGCATAGGAGGAGGCGGTGAGGATGCCAATGAAATGACGGCTCTTTTGAAGTATTCAAGTACCCATGTGTATGAGATAGGAATGATAATTCATTAGAATGAGATGCGGTAAACCTATGATGCTATTAGCTTAGACTTTCTGATGCCTTTCAGTCCAGGATTTTGCCTCCAATAGTAGCATCAAAGGATATGTGTGCTGTGAAAAGATTATGGCTGGCCTCCATGACATCACCCTCAAAGATCAGAGCTGTCCTCACTCCCAAACATTCTAGCTTCCCTCCAAGAATCTCTGCCACATCTGTCATCCACGAATTTATCTAATATTTATAGTTTGGCTGATCCCAAACTATAAATATGAGTTATTTTCTACTGTAATATTATAAATAACTTAAAGTTTTATAAGTTAACAACTAGATGAGTGACAGAATACTTCCTCTTATCCATCATAAACTTGTCTTAGAGAGACATGCAGCATGATGGACAGGGGGCCAGAATCACTCCAGAAGACTTGGGTTCAATCCTACTTCTGATACATACTAGCTGGTCACTTAACCTCTCAATGTCTTGCCCCACCCCCCACCTCAGGCACCTCTCTAAGGCTAGAAGTTAACAGGTGAGTTACTGACCAGCATTGTGGAGGAAATTTCCACACTGAAAGTTCCCCCAGGCTGATGAAATCACAGGTCTGGATGAACAAAAGTCCTTAGCTTACGAACTTCAAAAGATATTCCTTACTTCTAGTATTTTTCCCCTGAAGCAGCCTCAAGCATAGAACCTTCTTTGTGTCAAAGTTACAGAGAACTTTTGGGGAGGATTTTGTATCCAGCAGTCATAGGGAATGATTAGGATCAAGTGGGAGTGGAGGCGCCCAGTGGGGTAAAATATCAGGTAGGCTCCAGCTGGGCCTCTGTAGGCAGCAAACTGTTAACAAATCAAAAGCACGCACTTTCCCTCTGCATTGTTTTCTTAAACCAGTTCCAAGTGGGAATTCTCCACCCCAGGCTTGGCTTCCAAACTCTGATATTTCCCTTTCCTGCTTAGCTCTCTGAAGCAGCTACCTCTAAGATTTCTGACTTAACCTCTGTTCTGTTCAGAGCTTGCTTCCTTGGATCCCTGGAACACTGTGTTTGGCTGTCTTCAATGCCCCAACCTGTTTTTCTTGCTTGTCACTGTTGACTCCCTAGCCTGTTAATCACTCACTATTCCCCAGGATGGAGGTGGCCTTCTCCTCACCCCTTTAAGGGTATGGAGACAACAGTTTCAGATTTTCATCCTGTTCATAAGTCCCATCAGCTGGGATTATTTCCAGAAAGCAGAGACAAAAGAAGAAAGACTAGGTCATGGCCACCTCTATCCTCCATCTATGTGAAAGTCAGTTGAAGAGTATTCCAAAGAATCACAAAGAGGTTGGTAGATGGGCAGCTCTTTTCAGTTCTTGCTCAGAACCCAAAGGACCTGGAGGCCTTCCTCACCTGAGCCAGCTCTCCTTCTGCCCTCTGCAACACTTGCTGGGCAAGATCCCTCTGGAGGGCCATAAGGGTGTGCAAGATCTGGCCCAGCCATTGTGTGGCCACCCCGTTAAACTGAGGAAGCTCAGACACCAGCAGAGAGTTCAGGGCCTGGTACGTGTGCCTAGTGGCTTCCTCTTCATAAGTCATGCTGCCCATTTCAGCCAGCTTCTCTTCTACCCGTTCAAAGTCCAGCAGTTTGTCCAGACGCTTCTTGATCAGATTCTGAGGCCCCAGTAGGGCTTTAGACAGGTGGCCCAGTGGGTGGTACACTAGCCTTTCCAGCCGCTGCTTCTGTGGGAGAGAAGCATCATTCAAGAGATCCTGCCACCCCTGTAGTGTACAATCCAGGCAGGACTTTGGGAACTGACTGTCTCAAGGCTTTAAGGACTATCCTACATGGACACAAATAAAAGAGGGCATAGCACCCAACCTCCTGATCTGAGGCAGAACCAAATCTGACCGATGCTACAAAAATAAGAAGCTCCTCTCGAGCCTGAAAAAGACAATCGGTGAATTCTGTGTGTCTAAATCCCTTGTCCTATACCCTAGGCTTTCCAGCTCTATCTATCCACAGGTAAAAACAGTGAATGTCTGATGATCATCCTTAGAATAATTACAACAACAACAACAATTAATAATAATAATAATATCACATTTTCATAGTGCTTTTCAAGCACTAACATAAATATTAGATAGGGAAATTTAGGTGAGTTCTTCCCTGGAACCTTAATTTGAGGAGCAAACCCAGCCATGCTTACTTCTCCCTCAGGTCCACTCCACCTTGCCTCCCATGCCTGGGTACCTCCCCTACCCCCAACTTCTCAGCTCCCTTTTATGTCCTATCTTCTCCTTTTAGAATGTAAGCTCCCTGAAGGAAGGAATTATCTTTCTTTTTACATACATATCTCACTATGAGTGGAAAGAGCTCTATTCCAGGCCCAAAAGAAAAGGACAAAGACTAAGAAGGACAAGGAAAGATTAAGGAAGCCATATTCCTGCCTCTACTCTCCTACTTTGTCTAGAATGCTCTAGATATCTCTCTCCACTCTCAAAGCTCATGCCAGTCCTGGACTTCACACACCAGAAATTCCCTTACTCTACAGGCTCCATCATCTACTCGAGGAAGAAACAAGAGAACTTACAAATTCCAAGAAGGCCAGAAGGTGCAAGTTTCTTGTAAGGCAGCAATATTGCTGCACAGCTCCGCCTTCCATCTCCAGATCACATTCATGTGGTTTGATCCTGAGGAAAGTCTAGGCCAGAGTAAGGGACATTATACAAGGCAATGAGAATCCACAGACATGAGCTACAAAAGGACCGTGGGCATCCTCCCCTCTGGAATGTGTCAACATTGGGGACAAGGATTAAAAGAAAAACAACAGAATTGAATGGTGAGAAAGACAGACATATGATTCTGGTCAGGACTCCAACAGGATACCTCAAGGACAGCTATTAACCAGAGTAAATTCCCTGAGTCTGTGCCAATTTAAATCTGCTCACCAAATGAGACAGGCTGAGAGGTTCTAAAATGGCCTCGGAAGCTGAGCCCGGAAGGCTCATGGTATTCTTTGTTTAAAGGGCACTAGGTGGCTTAAGCACTTGGTGGTTGATGGTCATTATTAAGGCTGGCACTTTGCTAAGAGCTGGACAAGAGGCCAAGAGCTAGAAAGGAGGTCCAGGGTCCAACTGGTCCAACCTGTACCTGAACAGGGTTCATCAGGGTACATTGTAGAGTCTGAGTGTTGGAAAAGACCTCTGGAAAGGTCCAACCTGTACCTGAAGTGGGGTCAAGTGACTTGAACTCTAGAAACTAACTAGTTACTCTCAACATCTCATTTAGCTTTGGCTTCAATTCCCTATTAATCATTTTCATTCTGCCCTATCCAGGTCAAAAAGATCTTTCTCCTCAGCAAAGAAATGAACAGACAAGAATTAAGTTGTTCTATCTCTCTCTGTCATCGTTATTCTATCAACCTTAGGCAGGGGCCCTCCTCCAGCTTGGATGCTTCTCTTATCCCCAACATAGCTGTAAAGATAGCAACCGGATGTCTTACTGTTCTCGGCATGCCTCATCAGTTTGAGAGCCCCAACACAGTTTTACAGAACCACGAAACTCCTCAGTATTCACCTTCTATCATCTGCCCTTCCCTCGAGTTCTCTGGATTGTGATGATGTGTGGGGCCCCTAGGGTCTTGTTTGGCACGTAGAACAGTTACCTCCAAATTCTCCAGGTATGAGGCCACATTGCTCTTTAGTTCATTCACACACAATGCCACCCAGTGGAACTTCTCTTCTAAGTCATCGAACTCCCTGTCTTCAGTCTAAAATCCAAGTGATGAAAGTTATATTTCAAAAATAATAATAATAACTGATGGTTGTATAATGCTTTGAGATTTTGCAGAGCAACTTACATACATTACTTCATCTGAGCTTTACAGCAACCCAGTGACGGAGGAATTACAAATATTAATATGCCCATTTTATAGATAAGGAAATGGCTTCAGAAGGAGGTTAAGTAATTCCCCTATCATCATACAGCTAGTAAGTACTAGAGACAGGATTGGAATCCAGGTTTTCCTGACTCCAGTTCCAGAACTCTATTCATTATGCCATATTAATTAAGCAACTACTATGCGCAGAATGGGACAACTAGATGGCTCAGCGGATAGAGCACTGGGCCTGGAGTTAGGAAGACCCGAGTCCAAATTTGGCCTCAAACACTTAGTAGATGTGTGACCCTGGGCAAGTCACTTCACCTCTGTTTGCCTTAATCCACTGAAGAAGGAACTGGCAAACCACTCCAGTATCTTTGCCAAGAAAACTCCATGAACAGTATGGTGGCGTGGGGTCACAAAGTCAGACAAGACTGCACGAACAACATCAAATGTACAGAATACTACGTTACGGAGAAATACAAAGTTTGGAAGAACCAGTTTTTGCCCTTATGGAACTCACAAAGACTATACTATAATTACATAAGAGCAAGTATAAATTGAAGGGCTCTGTGGAATTCAAAAAAGAAGTCAGTAACAAATTTAAGGGGTCAGGGAAAACTTTACGGAGGGATGGGGATCTGAGTTGGACCTTAAAGGACAGCCAGTTGGATGACAGCATAAGCAAAGACATAGAGTAATGAGAACATGTGACATAGGGAGGGGAGGGTGAGAGCCCGCCTTGGCTAGAGTTCATTGTACGTGCTAAGGTTAGCAGACAGCATTAGAAAAGACTAAAAAAGAGTCTTGGATTGCGGAGGATCTTGAATGCCAGGCTGTCTGAACTTTACTCAGTAGGCATCAGAAGCCATTCACTGAAAACTTTAAGTCAAGAAGCCAGGGAGGAAACCGATTTTACAGACCAAATTTGGGACTTTCAGTCACTATCAGAATGGAAGCTCATGTAAACAGTTAAACCATCCTACCATTACGCAGAAATGTCCACAAGGAAGCATTAGGACACAGGCTCCAAAAGAATGTACAAGGAATTAACAACCTTCACTCCCACTGGGAATGAAGTCACAGAATGGCCTTTAAAATAGCAAACCTTTCCAAATATTTCCTTCCCTTTCTCGTGAATCAGCTGGAATCAGCACAAAATGTTGGAGAATAATAGGTGGTTTCTGATCCAAACTCAATGACTGTAAAGCAAGTGTTCTTATAGGACCATTTAATCTCTGGGGAAGGGGGGGAGCCCCAGGGGCCTTGGGAGTTTCCACAGAAATGAAATGGCACTGCATCAAGCCTGTCTTACCCTAGGGGAGCCTAGAATTTGAGAGCTCTAGGGGACAGGAGAGCCTCAATGTGAGAAGCTAAAGCAGCTGAGGCCCAGTAGGGTCTCGGTGATATCTCACGTCCTTGGGGGAACAGATTCCCAGGTGCTGACATAAGTAGACTCAGTATGGCCTGACAGAAAACCCAGAGATCAAGCCCTAAGAAAGGAGAAAAGGTTCAAGTCATCAAAATCTGAAGTCCACAGACTGAAGTCAGGGTCAGTACCTCAGGAGCAGGCTTGTGTGGGCTGAAGTGAAGGGGCCTTGGTGGCAACGCTGGAGGGGGTAATGGCAACGACAGAATCTAAGCCAGAGTAGCCACATTTTGAAGGCTCAGGACTATTTTTGCTGACACCATCCCTTTGGTTCCCTAAAAGGTTTCCACTGGGCCATATCCTGACAGTACCTGTCTCTTGAGGTTTGGTGGAAAAATTTAAATGTAAAAGCCCTTATGAAGATTAATGCCCACTGAATTATGACTAGATTGCTCTTTAACTTCAGAGCCACATGTGGATTTATATGGAACTATGGCCTCTCCACACTTTCTTCAGCTTGATCCCTAATCCCATTAATATACCAATACTCAAAGTCACCCTCAATTTCCCCATCATACCATCCTTTTCCTTTTCTCCTCCCAATAAAATGTAAACTCCTAGTCAGGGATAATTTAATTTTTGATTTTGTATGCCCAGCACTTGGCACTGGGTCTTGCATATAGTAGGCAATTAACAAGTGCATACTGAATTGATTTTGCTATCTATAGCCTTCCACATCCTGGAATAGTTAACATTTTTCACACTTGTAGGGTGACAAGAGATCAGAACAATTGAAATCTATATTCTCTAGTCTACAAAAGGCATAACTGGGCTTCTTCTGGTGAGAGCAATGTGATATAATGGAAGGAACACCCATCTTAGAAGCAGGAGACCTGAATTCAATGCCTAGCTCCACACTTCATAGGTATTTGATTTTGGGCTCACATTACCTAGATGATCCTCGGGTTTCTTACTTATAAAACAGAGAATAAATACTTGTACCACCTAATTCACAGGATTGTTATGAGCAAACTATTTTGTCAATATGAACATGCTACAGAAAAGTGAATTATAATTACATGTAGGACAAGTGACATTCCCAGAATGCTCATAACCTCTGAATCTTCTCCCTGCAGAGCCATAACTGGGTGTTGTGGTCTGGGGTTTGCCACAGGTGCCAATATCTAAGGGGTAGTGCTTCTCAGGAGGGAACGTTTCTCCCCTGTTGGTCCAAAGAAGAAGGTCCTCATGCTAGGACTCACACCCATGGAGGTGTGTGGGGGAAAACAGGCCCCCAGGTAAAGACAAGAGAAAGGGTCATAGGACAGAGAACTGGGGAATGAAGAGGAGGGGAAGCTACCACTTCATTACTGACTAAACTATCCTCTGTACCCATCATGCCCATCCCAATTATCCCCATGCTCTCCCCCTTTTGCTTTTGCCCTACATAAAAAGAATTCTAGGTTACACATTCAGGTTCTTCCCACTACTGCTTAGAGGGCCCAGGACAGCAACGTACCAGGAGATATAAGTAACAAAGGACTCTCACCCTGGTCACAATCCCAGCTTCTTGCTTGAACAACTGACTTAGACGCAGAGTCTTCTTGGAGATAGAGTGTGTATTAATCCGGGCCAACCTCTCCCTGACCGTCAGATGCTCCAACTTGCTGTATTTAGTGACTGTGGGGGAGCAAGGAACAGAGCAGGGGGGAAAGGGATACATGAGAGCACACAATTTTCCCTGAGAAGTTGGTCTAGGGCCAGTTTGGGGTCACTGCTTTGTGACAGAACAAGGAAGGAGTAGTAAAAGGAACGAATAAGGAGAAGCCTAGGAACTATAAAGAAAAGAAAAGCAGAGACCTGAGGTCCCTAGCCCATAGAAGGGTGATGGGGGCTTCCAGTGCTGAAAGCCACATGCTAGAGTAGACAGAGCACACTGTTCTTGGATAGTCTGGGGGTCATAAGACCTAAGGGTTTCAGTCTCTACTTCTACTGGCCATATGGCCTTTAGCAAGTCAACCAACCACTCATTCTTTGCTTCTTTATCTATAAAATAAGGATAATAATACTCTTACTACCTACTTCACAGGATTGTCATAAGGAAAGTGCTTTGTAAACCCTAAAGCACTGTAATTATTATTATTGTTGTTAATACTGAATTTCTCTTTACTTGGAAAACTTTCTGTCTTTAGTGGTTCATATTATCTCCTTAAAATTCAGTTTCTTTGGAACTTGGAGTGGCATCAACTTGTAGCTTTCAAATGCCAGGATACAGATAATCTAGAAGTCTGGGGGCCTTTCCCAACTGGCCAATATCCTTACCAATTTCCTTACGCCTCTTGTACTCATTGATGTTGGAATTGACCTCTTGCATGGCTCTGGTAGCCCTCTGCAAGGCCTCGTAGGCGTGGTCATCAGGTGGCGTGTTCTCCAGGATCTTCTGCAGCAGGAGAGGGTATCTGGTCACCCGCTGCACAGGCATCACCAGCAAGAAAGTGAGACCTGAGGCTCCAGCCTGTGGCCTACGGGAAAAGTGGGGGGACAAATTAGTCAGGTAGACTTGTGGACTGGAAAGAGATTTGGGACTAGGAATCAGAGACTACATTTTAACCCCAGCCCTACTACTAACTCACTGAGTAATCTTGGGAAAGACATTTATCCTTTCTGGGCCTCATTTTTTTTTTCACTTCTAAAATGAGGAAATTGAACTATATAAGGGATTCTTTGAACATTTTTTGGGTCATGGACCCATTTGGTAGACTGGTAAAGCCCAAAGATGTATTTAAGTACATAAGATAAAACATACAGCATTACAAAGGAAACCATGTATTTTGAAATACAGCTAACAAAATATTCAAAGAGCAAGTTCACAAACCCCAGGTTAAGAACCCGTGAAGTAGAAAATTACTAAAGGTCCTTTCAGCCCTAACATTCAGTAAGGATTTGGTAGAAGAAAACTGATGGATCACAACTTAGCAAACCCCAAACCTGGGTTAACCTCCCCCTGGGGGGATGTGCTGGTAAAATATTTAACAACAGGCTCTTCACACATGACACACTTTCAAGTCTACTCTGCATTAAATTTTTATTAAAATTTTCTCCATATTAAGTCAACAGTCAACAAAACAATAAATCCAGCCCAGACTTGTAGTGTTTGCCTATTTCCAAGGTGCAAATGTTCACATTTTAAAAATCAGCTCTTGAGAGCAGGTTCAAGCTGGCTTCAGCATATCCCTGGTTACCCCACTTCTATACTCCTAACTCCTGTGTAAGACCAATGAAGAAAGTCATACAATCAAATTGAGTAGGGTCTTAATAAAAGCAATACTTTTATTCTTCCTTATTTGATTCTTCATCACATTTCCCACACTGGCTGTTCTAAAATTTTCCTTCTTCCTCAAGTCTTCAACCACCCTCCCCGCTCTCTGTTAGCAGATGATTTTACCTCCCACTTCACTGAGAAAATAAGGGCCATCTGTTGTGTACTTCCTTTCTCCTTCCTTATCCTGAACCTCAAAATCCCACTGAATCACCCTCATTCTCTTCTTTGATTTAGTCACTGATAAACAGGTGTTCCTTCTCCTTGCCAAGACCAGCCCCTCTTCCTGTGTCCTCCCATTCACAGCCACATTCCTAGGGGAAAAATGTCTACAGTCATTTCTTCTCCTTCCTCTCTTCCTCCTACTTGGCAATCTAGCTTCCTACCCAATCACTCTTATCTTTTGATCAAAACTATTTCTCTTCCAGGTTACCAACAATCTCTCCAAAGTTACCAACAATCTGTTAATTGCTCCATCCAATGACCTTTTCTCATTCCCTGTTCTTCTTGACCGCTCCCTCCTTCTAAATACTCTCTCCTTCATCAATTTTCATGGCATTTCTCTTTTCACCTTCAGCTACCTTTTACCATTCCTTCAAAGTTTCCTTTGCCAGATTAACATCTATGTCTCACTCCCAACCATGGGTTTTGTGACATTTAAAAAGTTCAAGAGACATAGTTTCTGGGTAATTAGTCATTTTATTAATAATGCTAGCATTTTATTAATAAAAGAGGTCAATGGCACTCTCAAATGCCAAAAACCCCTCATGGAACCCACTCAATGCTTATATGCCCTTGGAAGGGTGGGTGTTCCTGAGGGTAGCAATCAACTCTGATTGGTTATCAATTAATGAGAAAATTAATATTATAATGAGATGTGGGAACATTCTAATGAGGGTCTTGGGGGTACATGACTTGGATTACCCAAGTCTTAGTCAAAGAGATTTATCAATTTCCACATCACCTGTCTGACAAAAGTGAGAATCCACATTTTCCCAGATCTGTTTGAGTAAACACAATGATCAGGAATAATTCATCCACTGGCCTAAACTTAGGATTTCTTTTACTGTCTTTGATTAGATCTTAGCCTGGTAAGTCTTTGCCCAAGATTTCCCATACTGGTTGATTTTTGATGAGAAAGTAGAAAAAAAGGGTAAAAACCTTGGTCTTAATTCAATAATTAGTTATTAAATATAAGAGAGAAATGATATTTCTTTCCGTGTCCTACAAAGCTCTGTCCAGAGTCTCTATTTTCCCTCTCAGTCAGCTTTTAATTACCATCTCAGTGCAAATGACTTCTAAATTTACTTATCTAGTCTTAGAGTACCAAGACTATGGGAGTATGAATAGTAAACTTGGTTATATATAACTCTTCCTAATCAAGAGAACCACCAATAAAGCTGATAAAGTCATATATATTTTTGGGGGGTTCATGCAATTTTGGAGCATATGGCTAAATAGAAAAAATGTTTGATTCTGGATCTGAAATCATAGATTTGAATACTCTTTGGGTCCCTTTAACAGAAAGTTCAAAAGGCAGCTAGGTAGTCCAGTGGATCTCTAGAGCACTGGGCCTAGAATCAGGAAAACACAAGTTCAAATCTGACCTCAGTCACTTACTGAGTCATACTTAGAGTATGACTCTAGGTAAGTCACTTAGTCTATGTCTGCCTTAGTTTCCTCAATAGGAAAATGGGGATAACAATAGCACTTACCTTCTAGAGTTGCTGTAAGGATCAAATGAGATAATATTTATAAGGTGCTTGTGACAGTGCCTGGCTCATAGTGGGTATTTATTCCCTTTCCATGTTCCTTTTCCCAATGCCTAGCACAGTACCCTGCAAATACTCGGAACTAAGTGTCTGTTGAACTAAACCAAACTGCCGGAAAATAGGTAGCCCCCAAGAACCCCTATGACATAAAGAACTTATTTCCCTCAAAGAGGAAACTCAAATTCTCTACAATGAAGGAGTATAACTTCCAGGCATTTCTGGAAGAGCTCAAGGATGTCAGCAGGAGGCAGTGGGATCCAGTAGAAAGAGAGAGATGGGAATTTCCAGTCATGGGTTCTATTTCTGCTACTAATTTACTGTGTGACACTAGCCAAGTCTCCTCTCCTCCCTGACCCTCCATTTCTACTCCATATAATGAGAGGGCTGGACTAGATAACCTTTAAAGCTCCATCTAACCCTAAAAATTCTATAAATCTAAAATCAGCTTCAATTGAACTGTGCATGCTTATTTTCATGTCCCTTCGCCTCTGCAGTTTCTGGGTTGACTCTGGGCATTTGGTGGTATTAAAGCTTAAAATTCATGAGTCAGGTCCTCTGTAACAATGGGGATAGATTAGGAGACTCCTTAGCTTAGACCCAAATTCCACCAACATGGGCTGCTGCATGGCTTTCCACATAGGAACAGAAAGCAGAGGTTGGCTAGGAAATGCTGACTACAGGTTTGCTTTTCAGCTTGGCAAAACAGGGCCCACTCAGTCTTTTCAGTAAACAATCCTCCAATATTATACCAGGGTGAGTCAGGCCTTCGAAAAGTACAAATGATTGTCTATTAAATAACTGAGACAGAATCTCCTTAGCTTGATGGAATGCTTCCCATTGGCATTTCTTCTTAAAGGCAAAACCTTTTCTGGAAAGAGAGAGAGAGAGGTAGAGGAGATGGGGAAGAGGGAGGAGAGAAGAGAGGAGGCAGGGGAGAAAGGAAGAAAGAAGAAAGAGAGAAGGAGGAGAGAGACAGGGAAGGAAGGGAGAGGGGGAAAGAGAAAAGGGAGATATGGAGAAAGAGGGGGGAGAGGAGAGAGAGAGAACAGAAAGGAACAGAGTGAAGTGAGGAGAGCAAGGGAGAAAGACAGGGAGAGGAAGAGGGGGGAAGGGGAGAAAGAGAGGGGGGAAAGGGGATGGGGAAAGTGGGAGGGGGAGGGGAAGAGGGGGAAAGGGGAGGAAGAAGGGGGTGGAGGAGAGGGGGAGGAAGAGAGGTGGAGAAGGGGGGGAGGAGGAGATGAGATGGGGAGAGAGAGAGAGAAGGTGAGGAAAAGGAGAGGGGGAGGGGGAAGGAGAGAGAGAGGGAGAAGATTAGTCGAGAGGATGGGAATCAGCAGGACTAGTGGTCTAAAACTTTTACTCCTAGGGATTCTTTTCATAAACCATCTTCAACTCCTTCCTAGGGCTGTTGAGGGGAAGGCGATTTCTACACTTAAGCATTGTACAAATGTGAATGACTTAACATTCTTGATTTGCAGAAAGCTGCAGAACAAATGAGCAGTGAAGGCTAAAATGGATTATAGTTACACGATAACAGCAGTTGATTTTCAATTAAAAGCAAAAAATCAGATGTGTTTTGGCTGCCTGTGCAAAAGGAAGGTAGCAACAGCTAACAACCTGGAAACTTTCTGGGCATGATCATCTGTGTTAGGAAGATGGGCTCAAACTAACTTATGGAGATTTTTGTCATCATTACAACTTATGGACAATGAGTTAACCAGAGAATAATATTTCATTCCCTCTTTGGTCTTAATCGTCATCTACCCCAGAATGAATGTAGACTCTCAAGGTATAACTATGCCTTGAGAAGAAACATGATAAAAAGGAGAGAAGGCCACTCTAGTGACAGGAAGACTTGGGTTCAAATCCTGTCACTGATAAATACTAGATGTATGACCATAGACAAGTCATTTAACATCTTAGTGTTCCACCCAACTCTAAGACCATAAGTTAAATATAAGCTGCCAATCTCTACCAGAAGACAGAATTTGTGTACAGGTAGTACAGGCTCAGCTCAACCACAGATGCCACTATTTATTGTAGTATTTATGTATTTTTAAAACATTTAACATGTATAAAACTGGGCTACTGTTTTAATAAGGTTCCTATCTTTTTTAATGCATCATTGATGAAGTTTTTAAGTGTTGTGCCTTCAACTTCATTTTACCCATAAACCCTATGGTTTTTGTTGTGAGATCTTTCATGGATAGCATGGTGATTTTTAGGAATTCATATGTTACATTATGGCAGATCTGACTATAATTATAAACTTTTCCCCAGTTCTACCCATATATGCTTCTGACCATGTAATAATCATAATGAACTCCCTAAAGACTGTAGCTATAGCAAGCTCTGTAGAATCTCAGAGCTAAAAAGAAGTTTAGAGGTCATCTCTTCCTTTCCCTCTCCACCAATGCAGGAACCCCTTTTACTACATCAGGAAGTCAACCAACCTCTGCTTGAACATCTCCAGGAACATAGCAACTCCTTCCATTGTCAAAAAACTCAGATAATCGTTAGAGCCCCAAACTGACACTGAGTAACTTCTGCCAGGTTGCTTCCTCTGGGGTCAAATAGAACAAATACAATCCCTTATCTCTAGGACAGGCTTCAGATATTTGACCCTGCCCCTCATAAGTCTTCTCTTCTCCAAACTAAAACTCTCTAATTCTTTAATTTCCAACTTGTCAATTTCTCTTTCAAAATGTGGTACCCAGAACTAGACACAGTCCTTCAGGTGCAATATGACCAGGGTGGAAAACATTTGGACAACCAGTTCTCTTGACAGGGGTCTTAATAGATGGCACAAAGTTTAAAAATCTTCTTCTAGCTTCTTCCTAATTCTTACCCAACCGTCCCTGTTGTTTCAACTCACACCACTGCAGTGATGACATCTTGAATTGCCTTCTGTAGCGTGGGTACCTTCTTATACGAATCTACCATGGCCATGGCCTGATTATAGCTGGCACAGTAGACCTTATAGGTGCTCTCCATCTCCTCTTGGAATTCAAGGAACAGATTACCTAGTGGTCCAAAAATATGGATAATGATTTTTCACAAGGCAGATTTCTTTGTATAACTAATTACACACAATTAACCATAATCCTTTTGGTCACACAAAAAAATCCAGTCTAGAGTACTCCCAAAGATTATAGGTCAAGGGCCAAATTTCTTCCCATGGAGACTTCTAAGGGCTTATTTTACAAACCAAATTCAGGGGTTTCAGTCACCTAATCATAGTGCTAGCCCATAAATAGTACCAGCCAACCTCTGTTCTAGCAGTATCCATTGTACCTATAAGGACAAGGCATTTGTTATTATGGATTGCTAGTGAGCCCCGTCCAAACTATATAGATCTTCCCCAGAATCACCCATACTCTAGAATGTGACATCCATTCCATCCCTGGTTTCTTCCTGATTCACAGATTCTGAGCAAGTTGATTCGAAGGCTTATAATTTATCTACTTCATGGTCCCAGTCCAACAGGAAGCCTGAGGTAGTAAAAGAGGCATTGAAGATGAAATCAAAAAACCTAGTCAAGGTTGTAGTCCCAAACCACCATAAGGAAATCAGGATAGTTAGCTGAATTCTGCCAAGTCAGTGTGGCAGGGTAGAAAGAGAACCAAATTTGGAATCGGAAAACCTAGACTTAACTCTGATTGAGTCACATACTAAGTATCCTAAATCATCTTAAACAAATAGCATTGTCTCTCTGAGCATCAGTTTTATTACCTGTAAAAATGGAGATAATAATACTTGTACCAAGTTCCTCACAGGGTTATTGTGACAATCAATTATTTTAATGGACTGAAAGCATTTTGTAAACCAAGAAACTCTATATAAATGTGAGCTACCACCTAGTTCAGGCACTCATTAAGGTCAGGAAAGACCTTGAGAACTTTTAACAACTTGGTTTATCTTCCAGACTCCAGGACCAGCGCTCTATCCATTGTACCAGTTAGATGCCAAACGGATTGAAAATTTAGATAATAAGAGCCGAGAAGGTTGATAAACTAGAAAGTAAGGGTATTTGAGGGTACATTGGCACCTAATGGAAGATCTCAAGTGCAAAGATGATTTAGAAGTTTTTCTTTTAAACTTTCCTTTAAGCCTCCATGCAGCTTTGGCCCTGTGTTCCCAGACCTCCTTTCAGGAGTCGAGTATAACAGTTTTCGAATACATCTCCAATTTGACAATAGTCTTCAAGTGTTTAGAGGGCTATCATATTTACACTAAGTCTTCTCATCTCCAGGCTAAATATACCCAGTTACTTGACCTGGTCCCTGTATGACATGGTTTAACCTTCACCGCTGAAAAACATCAGTAAAGGCAACACAAACACTTACTTGTTGGAGATGTTTAACCGAAATCTGATTAAAAGAATTGACATTCATACTTCAGTTATAAAATAGACCAGATATCTTTTAAGATCTCTTCCCGTTTTATGATTTTATGGTTTTATAATTTAATAATCACCAATATTTATGTAGTGCTTACTATGTGCCAAGCGTTATACTAAGAACTTCACAATGATCTCATTTGACCCTCACAACAACCCTGGGAGGGAGGTGCTATTACTATCCTCATTTTACAGATGAGGAAACTGAAGCAAACAGAAGTTAAGTGGCTTGCCCAGGTTCACACAACTGTAAGTATCTAAGGCCAAATTGGAATTCAAGCCTTTCTGACTCTAGGCTCAGCACTCTATCCACTAGGCCACTTAGCTGCCCCTTATGTTCAGGAATACACAGGTAGCAAATGTTAGCCTAGAATAGAACCTGGGTTCCTGATTTCTACTCTTTCATATCAACCAATCAACAAGCATTAAACAAAACCCAACAAGCATTTTGAAAAACCCACAAGCATTTATTTAACACCTACTGTTTGACTAACATTGTTTGAGACAATAGGGATGATACAAAGATGAAAAATTAAACAATCCCTGTCTTCAAGGAATTTATAGTCTGTTGAGGAGACAACATGTATACATACAAATATATAAAAAAGAAATGCAAGGTAATTTTGAGGAGAGAGGATAGGCACCTGTAGCTGGGGATATTAGGAAAGATCTCATGTAAGAAATGGTGCCTTGAACTGAGATCTGTAGGAAACTAGGGATTCTGAGAGGCAGAAGTAAGGAGAGAATGAACTCCAGGCATGATAGGACAGCCTGGACAAGGGAGATGGAATGGCCTACATAAGGAATGTCAAGAAGGCAGGTTTGGCTGGACATAAGAGTGCATGAAAGGAAGTCATCCATAATAAGATTAGAAAAGTAGGCTATCCACAGGTTGTTAAGAACTTTGAATGACAGAGGAGATCCAGATTTGATCCTGGAAATAACAGGGAGTCACTAGAGTTTCTCAAGCAGGGAACTGATGTGGTCAGACCTTTGGTTTCAGAAAGATTGCTTTGGCTTGGAGGATGAATTGGGGAGGGGAGATGCATCAGATAGCATGATGAATTAGGAGGTTCTTGTGATAGTTTGTGGCAATTAGGTGGTGCAGTGGATAAAATGCCAGGCCTGGAGACAGGAAAACTCATCTTCCCGAGTTCAAATCTAGCCTCAAACTTATTAGCTGTGTGATCCTGGGAAAGTCACATAAACACTGTCTGCCTCAGTTTCTTCAACTGTAAAGTGAGGATAATAATAGCACCTACCTCTCAGGGTTGTTATGAGGATCAAATGAGATAATATTTGTAAAACATTTAGCATGGTGCCTGGCACATGGTAAGCATTTAATAAATGCTTATTCATTTCTCCTTCCCTTTCATCTCAGCTGCACATAGGGATGGTCATACCCTTGATGGTCATCACCTACAGGGGTGGTACCTCCACAATCCATAATTCTAAAAAATTCCCCTATCTGATCATACCTACTGACCTTCCATTTTTACCTGTGTTTTATCCTCCCTAAACCAATACTCTGTCCTCACCAACTTCTCATCATTTCACCCTTCCTTAATTTCAGGTCATGACCCCTGCTCCATCCTTATTTCCTTTCCTTCAGAATCTTGATTCATTAGTTTCCAAATTCAACTTGACACCATCCTGCGCTGTTGAATCCCTTGCCCCATTGTCTCATCATTGCTCATCCTTCCCAAGATTCCAACCATGGCCTCTTCCATTATCATCCTATCCACTACCTGTCTTTGCTACTCGAATGACACTGGAGGTAGACACATAATCGTGCTGACTGGATCCACTCTACTAATTGCCTCTCTCACCCACTACCTATAGAGTCTGTTCTAAATTTTTTCTTCTTAAGCTACCTATGGTTATGCCTCCTTCTTCCTCCTCAGCAGAAGGCTTTGATTCCTGCTTCACTGAAAAAATGGAGGCCATTTGTGACAAAGCTTCCTTTAGGCCTCAATTTTACACTTCAAATCACCTCAACATCACCCATTCCTCTCTCCCTTTGATGCAGAGGATGAGATGTTCTTTTTTCTTATAATGTTAATCCCCTCTACCAATGCCCTTGATCTCATCTTTTTCCATCTCTTCTAGGAGTTTGTCCCTTCAATAATTCTCTCATTCCTTCCCAAATTTTCATACTCTCTTTACCCACTGGCTCATTCCCTGCAGTTTCCAGATATCCCAATTCTTAAATTACCTTCACCTGATTCTGCTATCCCTCCAAGTTACTGTCATATTTTTCTCTCTTGAATAGCCAAACTCCTAGAAAAAGGTGTCTATACTCATGGCTTCCACGCTCTCCTCTCCCACTCAATGTTTGGCCTCTTACAATTTGGTTTCTGTCACCACTGAAACAGTTTTTCCAAGGTCAGTAATAATTTCTTTGTTGCTAAATGCAACGGCCTTTTCTCAGCACTCATCCTTCTTGGCCTCTCACGGAGGTGAGAGGCCATCTAGACCAACCTATACCTGACCAAGAATGCTCTCTACAACATCCAGCCTTCTCTTGAAGACATGATCAGCCAACCCATTCTCCTTTTTTGGATGGCTCTAGTTCTGAGGATATTTTCTCTTACATCAAGCCTAAGTCTATGTATTTTAAACTTGCTGCTTTGTTCTACCCTCTGGGCCCAAGTAGACTAAATCTAACCCCTCTTTCATGTGACAGCCTCTCAAGATAGCTATCATGCTCCCAAATCCTTAAGGCTTCTCCAATCTTAACACTCCAGGGTCTTTTGACTGGTCCTCATGTGGCATGACCTTGAGACCTTTCACCAGTTTGGTTTACCAAAATCCTTCCTAAAATGTGGTGCCCAGAACTAATCATAATACTCCTGATATGTTCTGACCAGGGCAGAAGATAGTAGACCCACCATCTCCTTCTTTGACATTTGTTGTTGTTTGAATCATTTCAGTCATCCCTGACTTTTCATGACCCCATTTGGAGTTTTCTTGGCAAAGATACTGGAGTGGTTTGCCATTTCCTTCTCCAGCCTATTTTAAAGATGAGGAAACTGAGGCAAACAGGGTGAAGTGACTTGCCCAGGGTCACACAGCTAATAAGTGTCTACAGCCAGATTCAAACTCATAAAGAAGGGTCTTTTTCATTCCATGCCTAGTGCTCTATCTACTTCTCCATTATGGTTCTCTTAATGAAGCCTAAACTGCACTGTCCATAAAAAAAAACTAGTATTGTTGAAAAAGCATTCAGCAGGGAATTTCATGGCCAGTAGACCTGGGCTACATGCAATTTTACCCTTTTTGGCTGATACATCACACTGTTAGGCCTGACCTAGTTTGCAAGGTGACTATGTCTTAATTGTACAATTTCATTACAAAGAAAAGAATGATTAAATGGTTAATAATAATTAGGGGACCCAGAAAAAATAAGAGTAACGCTTATTTCTTTCCCAGGAAGCAATTTAGAGCTAAAAAGGTATATTTAGTTTTGTTATGCCATTTGAAAAATCACAAATAAGTCTTGGAGAGAATCCAAAGTGATAAAAAGATATATTTAAAAGTAAATTGATGAAAGGTTAACTGAACTAGACTTCTTCAGTACAATAAAGCATGCTTTCCAGTACAGTGAAATATTGTCACTATCAA